CAATAAAATAATTTGCCTTTGAAAAAAAAACTCATTTTCCCAGCTAGAGATATAAAGCAATTAGAACCAACAACGAGATCTTAGTCAAAAATGAAATAATTTAAAACTTGCTTAATAATACTTTTCCTTTAATACAGCAATCCGACACATTAAAATTTGTTTTATAAATGAAAAAATTACGTTTTGGACCTAAAGAGTGAAAATTTAGGATCATTTTGAAGGATCTAAAATATTTTTCAATTTGACTTTTTTTTTTTGCGAAATATGTGATCACAGTTGCAGGCAGTATTTTTATAAATCGAATTTAAAATATTGATTTTAGAAAAAAATATTTTTTTCTTGCAATTTCAAAACCAAATGGGATTTCAAAACCAAAAATATACCTTTTAAGGCTACAGATACTTTTTTAAAATTTAAATTTTAAGTCTATTTTTTGCCGAAATGTACAAATTTAAAAGGGTTATATATGTGTTAACAGGGGATAGCGTATATGTTGAGACAAATTTCTACGAGAGTTAGGGCACATAGTCAAGATGAAATAAACAGGATTCTGAAAAGGTGAAATTGTATAGGACATTTTTAGTCAAAATGTGCAAATTCAAAAACATTATACATAACAAGACGTTCCATAAATATTGCGACGCACTTCTAAAAGAGTTAGCGCACATCATCAGGATTAAAATGGTATAATAACTCGCTCACATGCTCTAAAATGTCATCTAAAATGCTCGGGAGTGTCATCTTACGCATCTAGGGTCACTTCCCTATTTATTACCTGTTTAGAAATATACGAAGAAATAGTTTATAATAGGGGAATGCCCTTAGCTCTCTGTGAGGACATTTCCGACCATGGATTCCTATGCCATTTTAATCCCGATCATGTGCGCTAACTTTTTTTGAAGTGCGTCGCAACATTTAAGGGACCTCTTGTTATGTATAATATTTTTGAATTCGCACATTTTGACAAAAATGTCAGCTTAAAAAAAACTGTAACTTGGAGAGAGAAATCTATTTAAATCAGCGATACTAAAATATTCAAAATCTGCTAAAAAAAATCTCATTAAAAAAATTCTAGCGTAATAAATAAAAGAAAAGAAAAAAGTCTCTCTGTATATATAGCCTCAAGTCCAGGACCAGTAAAAATATTAATCCTAAGGAAATATACAAAAATTAAAAATTAGCTTAAATATTACATATTTTAACCATAAATTCAAATATTGGGCTTCGGGCAAGACAAATCGGATTGAGGCTTGCCATCATTTTGAAAAGTCGAAGCTGTATGTGCTACCATTTGTCGAAATAACCAAATGCAAAAAAAGCAATTTTAAATTTATTAATTTCTTATTCTTAGAAATAACGTGTTTTCAACGAACTTAAAAAATTAGTTTCGATTAAAGTTAGTAAGCAATTACTAAAGGAAAAAAATTAAATTACTCTTTGTAAGTCTGCTCGCTTGAATGTTAAATTATTGGCTATTTTATTATGGGTATTGTTTTAACCATATTCTATTTGAAATATTTCTATCAAAATTTTTCAAGCTGAAAATCAATTTTATTGTACTTGGTTGCTGTTTTGTCTGGAAAATTTCTTATATCTATTCTAAAATATTCCTTTCCTATTGATTCAGCAAACACATTATATTCCCTCAAATTTAAGATAGAATAAATCTGCTCTTCTGCTTTTACTTACATGTCATGCAATATATATGTATATAAATATCATATAAATACAGGTTTGTAATTTTGTTTTCATTGATGAAAATGAAATAAGGGGTACTTATGAATTTTAAATATTTTTTATTTTCTCATGCAATTTATATTTTTGTTACTGCTTATTCTAAAGCTTTTAGACTCGTTTTGTTGGGAAAAACCCTTTCGTTTTTATCATTCTACATATTTTGTAATAAGAAGTTCAAATAAATTCCTTGTGGATTGAGACAAAGCTTTTTTTTACCATATGGTGATCTTACATGAATGTATTGTAATTCATCTTTACATCGACAATTTAAAATTTCTATTTTTTTACTTATTAGCTGATAGTTAGTACTATTTACACTTTGTCAAATATTTATAACATGCAAAATAAATATTTGCATGATCCCAAACCAAAATAATATTTTTTGCAACTAATATGCAAATGCTTTAGCATTAGAGTTTTGAAACTTAATTATATCAATAAATGTAATAAAATAAAAAAGTGCTTTTATCATTTTTAAATATTAATAATTTTTCCTTATATGGAAGAACATTAAAGAGACTAGTGTTGAAAATAATATGGAATTTTTCTTGAACAAAACTTACATTTAATTATTTTTCCTGTATTTAATCAAGTATTTCGATTGAAATAATGCTACAAATATTTATTGATAATTTGTTAAATTTTACTTTTCTAAAGGCCAGTGTGTGTGGGCTTTTCATTGATCAGTGCATAAATAATGAAACATAATTAAGTAAAACAATTCCTAAAATAAAGCCATATGAGAAAACTTTCGACTCAAAACTAATAATAGTATAAGTAAGTTTTACATAGTAAATAAGTTTACTAACTCCGCTCTGTATTTATAATTATTTTAGTTTCTAAATTAGAATGATTACAAAATAAATGGGTAACGAGTTTATGGAGAAATTATATTACTGGAAAGATGTGGGATGAGTTATCATTCTTACAAAGATACCATAAAATATTTAGGTAAATGTACGATTAATGTATATTCCTACATAATTAGATAATTTTGCTCAAATTTATAAACAAACATCTCAATGAAAGATATAATTTTGCTTCCATATTTAATTTTCATTTCTTAATACTATCAATAAATGGACAATTTATGCTAAGTAGTTAATCAAAATAGTTTAGAACAATAGTAATTAAAGTTAACTTTCCACTCCGGTATAAAATATTAAATTGATTTTAATTTTCTTCACTGCTATCAATTCATTACTATCTTATTATATATATATATATATATATAATTAAATAATCTCCTTTAAACTTATAAACAAAACATATCAATGAAAGCTGTAATATCGCCTTATTATTAAATAATCTCTTTTATAAATACAAATAACAGGGCAATTTTTGTTAACTAGTTAATTGAATATAGCTTCGAGCAATAGCAATCAAAGTTAACTTTCTTTGGTATGAAATACTAACTTAATTCTTCATTTGCTTCAATGAATATTTATTTACATAACTATTTTGATTGCATTTTTCGTTTGGTTCTCGGGAATACTTAGTGCTTTTACTCAAACCAGTGTATGTTAGAGAAATATTGAAATTTTTAACCCAGTTATGGTAAATAGGTATACAATTTAGGCTTAAGGAAAACCAGGAGATAATTTTCTTTAGCAGCGTTGTGAAGTATGATGAAAGAGTGGGTCGTAAGGCACCATTTTCAAATGATCAATGAGTTTTAGATAGTTAGAACTTTTATTTATTGTTAAAAAATTTTATTCTTCGTCAATAAAAGTAATAATGAAATTTTTTAAAGCATTATAAAAGTTTTTTTTTTATTTCTTTTTTGAAGAAATAAATTCTACTTTATAATCGCTAGAAATTCAGAAAGGAATTCAGAATTAGAAATTGAGAATAGGAAATTAGAATTAATTTATTAAATTGAAATATAAATTTAAATGCTAATTTATATTTTATGCATTTTAGAAACTTATTTTATTTTATTTTATAACCGGCCTTAAACAATCGTCCCAATTCTGACTTAATGATTATCAGTTTTAAACTTCGTAGCATTTTTTTTTAAACTCAGAAGATAGGGGATCTGAGTTAAGAAAACGAGGATTTCTGGATTAAACATTAGAACACTCCAGCTCTCGTGGAACAATTTTTGATGGAACTAACCCACATTTGCATTGCATAGAGAGGATAACCGCGGAAAATCCAATGGTTCGTCTAACTGCAAGAAAAATCTAACCCATGATTCATCTACCACTGAGTATATTTTACGTCAGCACTGTGGTCGGTGCATGCCGGGAGCAGAATTTGTATCAACCACCTACCGTTGGAATTCGAACCTCGAACACCTCATTGGTGGATGCCCAATTCCCTTAGCCACCACTGCACTGCACCAAATGTTAGAATTTGTCAAAAAATAGCAATAATTTTAACGGTTAAAAATTTCATTTTTCCATTAATATTTATAGAAATAAGACACTCTACTGTATGAACGTTAGAAGTCATAAATTTGTTGTTCATCAATGTTATCAATGTTGACATTCGTCATAACTACAAATAATAATTTTAGAGGCTTAAAATTTATGAAAGTTTTTGATTTTTTTATACAAAGAAATCAACTCCAATTTATGATAGTTAGCAGAAATGAATAAAATTAATATAAATGAAACGTATTTAAAATGCACATGAGAAAAATATTTAAATTGGTTATGAAAATGAGTTAATATTTTTGATAGTTTAAAATTTTATTAAAGATTGTGACTTCTTATTTATGAATGAAGAAATGAATTAATTTTGTAGAAATGAAAGGTAATTAAAAATAATTATATTTTGTTATTTTTGCGATCAGAGGTCAATAAAAAATAGAAAATTTTTTTGACAAGTTGGAATATTCTTAAATCTTATGATTACCAAGAAAAATACTCCATAATTATAAATGATCAATAATTATATTAATTAAATGATGCAAAGATTTATAAAAAGTTAGTCAATATTAAACATTTTAGTCACCAAAATAGATGCAAAAATGATGCAAAGCAAACATTTAGTATTTTCCAAAAAATCCAATCTTGTTATTTCCTTTTAGAAAAGTTCCAGCAAAAATATTTTGAAGCAGAACGTTCTCTATTTATTACGATTTAGTTAAAGAAAATTCACAAACAATTTTCCTTAGTACTCTCAGTAAAATGCTCTCCTTTTACCAAAATTAGATTGTATCTGTCATTTATATGGTCAATATTTTTTAAAATATTAACTCTTATATAGATTTTATTTGCAGGTGTAAAATGTGTATGTTTTTTCTTCTTTTTCAGGTTCATTGGAAGAAAAATACAGCGATGAATAGCCATTGGAAAGTTATGATTAAAATAAAACATGAAAATACCTTAGAACATTTCTTTAAAAGTAACTAAAATTATAGAAAAAGTTGTTTTACTTTATTTCAAGCCTTTTATTTTATAAGTACATCCCATCTTCTATGCTTTTGTTATTGCTTAAAATTATAGTAATATTGGCGCAAAGGAGCAAATATCCTATATCTAAGGAGCAAATATCCTAAAAAGTAATGGTATATTCGTATGCAGTTTTTTCCATTTTATGTACTGTTAATTAACTATTATCCAATTACTGTATATAAAGTCAATAGCACTAGTGATACGTAAACGAGAGATTTTCAAAATGGCGACCGAAGTCGTGATGAATAACTCAGAAGAATTGTGGCGAAATGTGCACTCTTTTAATTCAGACACTTTAGAAAGCCAATCACTCGAAGTGGCCAGCAAAGTTGGATTGGAATATGATGTCGATACTCGTAAAAGTCTCCTGAGTGCCATGATACTTTTTTCCTTGCTTGGAAACTTCTTAGTTTTTTGGTCTTTCTATCCTTACCGCAAAAGAGGTATACCAAAAGCAAAGGTAATGTTTCTGTATTTAGCAATAGCAGACTGCTTTGTAGCTTTCTTCACACTAGGTGCTCAACTTTTGTGGGAACAAGACAAAAAGAAATATTTTGTTGATAACATTAGCTGCAAATGCATGAAATTCATGCAAACATACTCATTATCATTGTCCGGATACATGCTAGTCACGATAGCACTAGATCGTTACAATGCAATAATAAATGCTCTTACAAGGACAGGTGATGTTAAATGGTGGATAATATTTCCATGGGTGATTTCTGTAATCCCAGCAAGTCCATGTCCCTTTCTTTTCCATACCCCTGACGGCACGTGCGTGTCAATATTCTATTCCGAAAAACACAATATTGAAGCAGAAACTTTACAATTTTGGAGGCGTGTCTACATTACACTTGTGGTAATTATTGTTTTCGGCATCCCCACTATTTTATTACTGTTTGGATATATTGGAATTTATTATAAACTAAGCAAGCAATCAGAAGTATTTACTGGAATCGAACAAACCTCCACTTCTTTACCAAGAGCTAAGAAGAAAACTTTCACCTTGGCGATGGTAGTGACATCTGTGTTTCTTTTTACAAGCATACCTTATATTGTTCAAGAGTTTTACCTTGCTTATAAGGATCCAGCTACCATTGACGCAAATGCATATTTGATTGCATGGAGTGGGGTTATATCAGCTTTCAACAGTGTATTAAATCCGTATATTTATTTGCTTTTCCAATACACTGATTGCTGTATTGGTAGATCAATTAGGTCTGTGGCGAGTATAATACGATCTAGAAACTTTGCTCTTCATATGCCAGTGTCTTCGTACAGGAAGAATATGTCTGTTGTGTCTGTGTCGTCCAAAACCTCGAAAGTCGATATGAATACTGATTCGATGTCAAAGACAATTGAAACTGCTTTAATTTGTAATAGCGTTCAAAAAGATTATGAGACATGTGTGTAAAGTCCCTGAAATGTTAACTTAAAATGTAACTTGGGACGCGACTTGATGGATATAAGCTCAGAAAAATTTATTTTTATAAGAAAATGTGTAAAAATGTGTACATACGAATCCATTAAGAGCTGTGTATTTAATTATTAACAGTATGAATGTTAAAGTAGACATTTGAAATATTATTCCTTCTTCTTGATAAAGATGACCATCTCGATGGTCAATAGAAATCATTTTATTCAAAACATTTCAATAGACAACTTCAGGCTTCGTGAAAGCTTTTTCGACACTTATTGACATTATTTTCTTTTTTATTAAAATATAAAATTATATAAATTATTAAAGAATATTTTGTAGCGATTTTTAAATATGCTGACTAAATTCAATAAGCAAAGTAAAGTAATTTCTAAATTTTATACTTTCGATGGTCAGCATTTATTAAGTTTTCAGAGATTAATCAATTTCTACTCAGCAAAAATTTAATTAACATGATTGATAGAAGATTGTTTCAATTTCAAATGATTTTGGAATTAGTTTTTTTACACTTCATTTTAAACTTTTACTCATGCTTTGATTTTAAAAGATAAATTTGAATGTTTTCAGATCAAAATTTTAACAGTAGCAATATTCGAGGTTACTTAGAATACTTTTCAAATTTCGATATTTTTAAAATGAAAAGCATTTACTTTAGAGATTAATTAGTTGTTGTTAATCTTGGGTTTATAATTATACTTCATGCTTATATTTTGAAGTTTTTGTAAGGCAATTACATTGACAAACAATTTTAATGAGGTGGCTTAAGTTAGCTTGCAATACGGGGTAATTTAAAACGTAGAAAGTAAAAATTCGATAATTAACTTATGTTAGTTGGTGATAGGATAATATGTTCATAAACTACTTAATTATGTGCCAACATGAGAAATTGAAAAACGTTCTTTTTTAATTTCTAATTCCTTTAATTTAAGTATTAGTAAAATTGAGTTTAAGCATGAATTTAAGTTAAAATAAAAAGTAAACACAAATACGTCACGATATTTTTCCTTCTAGATGTGAAGTCAAACACTGTTTTACACATAAAGAGTTAAAAATAGTTATATTTTTAAACAAATGAGCTCGTTTCCTTTTATGTATTTTACCTAGCAAAGGTAGTCTAAGTTGTTTCGATGGCTTAAATTATCCTGGTAACTATTGATGATTATTTCACACAAATTTATATTAATGAAAAAAGATTTTTTTTTTAAAAAATTGCAACGTATTCAACGTATTTAATGTGTTAGTGAAATTATAGAATTAATGTTATTATTTCTAAAATAATGAATCCACTTTCTAAAATAATGAATCCTTGATCTGTACTATTTTAAAAAGATCAAAGAAAAATGAAAGGATATATAAATGAAGGAATTTCTGTGTTTTTCCTAGTAAATGATTATTTTTTACCAAATCAGTAAAATTAGCTACTGAGTTCGTCAACAAGGGTTGCAACATAGGGAAAAAGTATAAATTGTTTTTTTTTCAAAGTTACTACTATTTACAGCCAATCAGTCTGATCTGAGCACAAAATTGACATACTATCGAAATATTTTAATTCAACTACAAATAGCAAAAAAATAAGTAAATAAATAAATATATAAATAAATAAGTAAATAAAAATAAAAACATTGTGTTATAGTCTTTCAAGCTAGATGTGTCATTTTTGAACGAACTTTGCAACTATTTTCGAAACTTGGAGAGAAAAACTCTTGTTTGCTAAGAAACACTTTCATTTTCTTTTTTAATTTGGTTGTTCAACGTGTCAGACATCGAACATTTTTGGGACACTTGTGAATTTATCGAGTAAATAACAATTACTAAGTTAAAGTATGTTTAAAAAATTATTTTCTGTAAATTCTTACTAAGGAACATCATATCAAGTTATGAAATTAAGATTTTGAGAAAAAAAAAACATACCACGAACTACAGTAGTAGTATCCGATGGTTATAAAAATTATGTTGATTAAAAAGTAAATTTATGTTTTATAACAAAGGGCTGCTAGTTTTTCCATTAAATTGAAAAATTACTTTCAAATTCAAGACATATTGTGATTAAAAATGAATATACTTTTGATCTTTTGATTACTTATATTAAGAATGTTTGTATACTACAATACAACAAAATATAGTTTTCTTCAAATTTTATTGTAATTTTAACTGATTTAAAACTGGAAAATCATATTACTTTGCTGACGGAATATATATTTGCTAATATAACTGTCGCTAATATGCTAAGTGAATATTCATAAAATTGTTTTTTACATTTATATTTTAATTGTTTTTTATATTTGTCATATTTTCATATTTGTCATTTAAATTGTTTTTTTATATTTATATTAAATATGTTTACATACTAAAACATTGCAAAATTTTGATTATTCAAACCTTATTGTACTTTTTAACTGACTTAAAATATTTAAGGAAAACTGGACAATTATTTTACTTTAATAATAGAATATATCTAAGCTAATATTACTATGATTATATGTTTATAGTAAATCTTGAAGATTAAATAACTTCCTTAATCCAAAAGTAGCCGAAACAAATTGTTATTTTATCCTTTCGTTTTAAATAATTAGGAATTCATCAAACAAAGTACAAAAATTCAAAATTCACAAAGAATTCATTCCAAAATTCTTAAATTCTCCAGCTTAAAGAATTTAAAATGTTATTCTAAGATGACATTAAATTATTCCCGTTCATTCAAGCATAGTATTACAATCTTGAAAATAAGCTTTTCACCAATAAAAATTCTCGAAACACCAAAGACTTGCGAGATTAGTGAAGACGGAGATAAAATATCAAGACTGTGGCAGCCGGAATCAGTGAAATTAGGTAAGAATATTTTCCTTGAAAAGCTGACTCGGTTAAGAACTCAGATCGATAACTGCACAATTATCCTTAATGTGATTTTATCCTTAATGTGATTATTGTGAGTACATCAAACTAAGCTCCCACTCCAGGAGGGAAAAGAGTTTTAGCATTCAATAAATTTTAGGTTTGTTAATCAGCAATAGCTTAACTGAAACAGAGTGATTCAGAGCAGTAGTTATTTCTGGTTAATCTCCACAGCTACTTCTAATCTTTTTTGAATACTAATTTCAACAGTGTAACTATAAATCATATAATCAACTCAAAATGAATGTAGTTTAGATAAATAAAAGTAAAGGCTTAAGTGCGCCTCATGGATGGCAAGAGTTATAGGCAAGGGCCCCGCGCGGCGTACGATGGCATTTACAGGTACATATCGCTATTCATTTCTTAAACTCTCTATCTTTTATGATACTCACTACCTCCCCTCCAAATTTGTAATCCCTGGAATTACCCTGCATATTATCTTGATATTTAGGGAATTATACGTAATAGTCAGTTTTTTTAAAAAATTTCATTTTAATAAGGTTGTTCTTCGAAGGTAATGTCGTTGAGGGAAATATTTTTTTACAGAATAATACGATAATTTTAAGACTCTTATGAGTTAGTAACAGTTATTATTTATTTTTAGGTTATGCCTTGTTATCTTTAGCTATCATTTTATGTTAATTATAAGACTATCAGAAAATGTCCATGTAAAGTACTAGTTTTACGTGAATGAAAAGTGCTTGTGATATATTCGTTTTTGTTATTTTATAGGCTATTTCACTATCACTGCTGCACTGTTTAGGCTCATTAAAATATTTGAAAACTGCGTAATTTCGCTGATTTTAGTTATTTTCATTCAGAAGGAAAAATAACCTCAAGTTTGAAATTATTTTTAAAGGTTAATGTTTTTATTTTTATTTTCTAAGCTTTCTATTTGCTTTATTGAAATATACCACATAAAGACATATAGTTTAAAATTTAAGCTGATTTTTTTTAGTTTAAAACACTGAAGCAGAGTTTTTTTATGTATTCGTATGTGGAGTAAACATTACGGAGAAAATTGATTGAAACTTTTCCAAACTTGTTTATAACACAAATAAACTAATAATTACACTAATTTCACAGAAAAAAAATTAATTTTCATAATATTTTCAGAAATCGTATCTCTTATAAATTTTTGCACTAAGTTTTCGACAGTTAAGATTACATAAGGAAAAAATTTTCTACATAGATTCATTGAATAATTAAAAAAATCAAACTAATTAAATTACTATCGAAAATTGAAAAAAAAAGAAAGGAAACAGTAAAAATAAAACACTGTCACAGAAAAATGTAATTAAGTAGTAATACATTTTTATCAGATTTTAATTCGAGTAAAATAAAATCAAGAATCTTGATATCTTTTAACTTAATCATTTGAGTGCTCCACAGAAGATTTCATTATTATGTCAGCTTCAGAGCAATATTCACCTAAGTCCTTACTCTGTGAGAGGTCGTGCTCAAAGCAATCTTTTTTCTAGATTGGTGTTTAAAGAAAACTTGCTCGTTGAATTATGAACATTTAACTTGGTTTTTTCGCATCTACTTCATTAACTGGAGTAAAGTAAGATTTGTATGTTTAATATTTTTCTGTTATTGATATTTAAACTTTTTCATGTATAAATCCCTTATTGCACTAATATTCGACATACTACTGTTATTATATAATGATACTTACTTTATGAAATAAGTACCATAAAATGTATGTGTAAAATAAATTTGTGCCTAAAGTAGTACAAAATTTCATAAACAAGTCTAAATACCATTTGCTTCATGTATTATCAGTGTTTTCTCATTCCCATAGAAACAGTATTTGGATTTAATGTGCTTGTAATAATGATTTAAAATTGCAATAGTTAGCTTTTACTCAAAGCATGATAATTAAATTTGCAAAAATGTAAGCATAAGTAATGTTTCATTTTTAAATATTTATTTTTTGTGTTATAGGAACAAAAAGATTTAATGAGCTTAGTATATATTATATATAAAATAATAAATGAGATTCGCGCATGAATAATATTAATTTGTTATATGCATTTTCTTAAAATTTGGTGATATCGAACTATAAATAAATGAAATTATCTCAAACATACATCGAATTCAATTTTAGACTTTTATTAACGAGAGTTTTGAGAATTATTGTTCCTGGTTTATTTTTAATATTTCTGTTATTAAAACTTGTATATTAGCGTGAAAAGCTTAACCATGGCGTCAGAAAAGAAAATGTAATCTAGAAACAGAAAAATTGTTACGACGACATGACACCATGGGATCTGATGAGTTTCTATATCTTCACTTTATTTTGCTTATTAAACAAAGCATGCCACCTACTTTTCTCTTAATTAACTTCAGATATTTGAGATTTATACTCCCATTAAATTGAATTAATTTCTAATTTGCATTTGCATTTTAAATTTCTGGATTTACATTATTCTCTTATTTGCTGATCATAAATAACCAAAATGCAGCTTAAATGATAATATACTACTGGTGTTACTATTTAAGATTCATTTAAACACATGCTGACTCTCTCTCTGGTGTATTAAATTAGAGAAATTAGAGTTTATGTCTATACATTTTAAAGTATTGCAGAGTATAAAATATGTTATCATAAATGCATAAAATTCTTCATTATACTTATATACTTTTGCATTTTTTACATACGTTACGGGTAAAGAAGGTAGAATTGATGAAACTAGTTTTAACCGTTAGGCCCTACACAACCTATATCTGCACACAATCAGGGTGCACAACCAGTGGCCCGTAGGACTAAACTGGCACACAAACCTTTTAAATTGAACTGTCCAATAAATTAATAAAAATACAAAATAAATAAATAGTAGAAAATAATTTTTAGCCAGGCTTCAGAACAGTGAATTACTAATCTGACTCTCAAAGTAGCAGAAAGTTACTTTTTCGTCATGAAAGCTTGGCTCATTCATTGCAGTAAAATGTAATTTAATTACTAAAGATTTGTGTAAAAAAATAAAAATAAAAATTCTGTATATTGATAAGATTAAGAAAAAAAATTTATTTCAAAATTTCATCCACGATGATCACATTTTTATTTTTATATTTTATTTTACAATCACCGCCGAACAACCAATCCAATTTTTAGGTTTACGACTACTAATGTTCAACTACGTAGTCTTGTAATTTAGAACACAATCCAATAAGTAAACAAGGGAACTCCTGGATCAAGTATTGAGGAAAAATTTGCTTTCGAGGAGGATTTTTTGATGGAATTAACTCGCATTTGCGTTACATGGAAGGAAAGACCACGAGAACCTCCCATGGTTAGTCTAACGGCAAGGGGACTCT